CTGTTATGGATCTTTAAAAAATGTTAAGTTTATGTGATACTTGCAGTAAAACCTTTATTTTTAAGGATTTCAACATAAAATCAATGGTCAGTAAAACAGGCGAGCCATTTCAGTGCGTGCACTCTTGTTACACTCCTTCGAACAATCTTTTTAGAGAAAGAAAAATAGAAATTATATTACATGTTAGTAATTCATTGTAACATGATCGATCTTTGGTGTAGAATTTGTAAGTTACACAAAAATTGCAAGCATTGAAACCCCTGTGGATCGAAGTCATGATTAATGTTTCACTTTACTTTTATTAACAATCAAATACATATATTATTTATGTGTATTAAATCAATACAAGTCTGTAGTTAGATTTGAATGCATTTATAAAGCATTTATAAAATGTTTTCATGCTGAAGGTCTGTTTGCTGAAACTGCAAATGGTTTTTTACATGATAATAGTGACATTATTTTGTTTATTTTTAATCCATTTTTGTATAACAATAATTAATCAAGAACGCTGTTTATTGATCATAAAATGCAATCATAATTAAAATTCGTCGCTTTGTTATTTTAAGGAATCGGTCTATCGAAGTCAAATTGATCGGTCACTTTTTCATCGCAAACAAATGGAATTTCTTACCTTGGTATGGTCTCAATCAATTAATTGCAATTCGTTAGGGTTTTTATGAGTTTTATTTTCCTTAATTCAATTATCTAAAAATTACAGTCAAATCAGAATAAGGACATGGGAAATATTTTTGCAATTCTGTGATACTTTATGAACGATTCCATCTCACCAATAATGATTTACCATCGGCTTTCAGCATGAGAAACCTGACGGGTGTCACCAGCATAACAGGAACTGCTAACCCAAAGAATCTTTCAAAGCAAATTAGTCTACGGCACTGTTTTCAGTTTGTTTCTGTGTTTCTGTTTTAAATCAGATACATGTTTATATCAAAACCAAATTCTGTATTTAAAAAAAAAAAAATCCATCATATGATCAAAAACAACAACTGTCGAGGTACCCTGAGAAAATTAACGTGTGTTATAAAACTCCACCACTCCCCCTCCTTTCAGGTGCAATGTACTCAACAGAAAGAACAATACACATCAGTTTAGAAAATACACTTTTTGATAGGGGTTTTATAGACGATAAAAACACATGACAAGTGAAATAATAGTAAATGCAATGTCGGTATCAAGAGACATCTGAGGTAACATAAGCTTTGCTATTTTGTTTCTTCTTTTCAAGAATGCTTCAGACGCTCAATTACTGAATACGTAGTTGGCTTATAAAAATGATATACTTGAAGTGAAATGGCAATTTCAAAATATCAAATATAAAGGAATAGTCTAATCTGAGAATAAAAACCAGTTATCTAACACCAAACGTTATTGGAATATTTCACATATTAGTAGTACACATACTGATGTTGCAAGACATTAAAAGGATACAGCATGTCGCGAAATGTTTTGCGTCAGCTTTTTTTTTTGCGATTGGCGCAAAAATAATAACAAGTCAAAATTTCGCTAGGATTGACTTACGCTATATTTGAAAGTATTTCCATGACAACTACTTTATAAACAAAAATTCTGCGGCGGTAAAATTAAGTGATTTTTCGCATCCACGAAAACACCGTGCATGTCCACACATGCAATAACCCGATACACGATAGAGGAAAATATTGGACAGTTCAAGACCACATCAAATACCAACAACACACTCCTCTGGGAAAATAGATGCACAATCAAAGAACAAAACATGGTTCAATAGCCTGACATTATACCGGCACACAACTTGGAATGGTTCAAACCAGTTCTATGGGCGAACAAGACTTTCCTCTACCTTTTAGAGAATGTGTCGTAAAAGTAAATCACAATATCAACCTGCATTTGACATTTTGAATTTTATAACAATGAAACCAATTGATTATCAATCCTTTGCAAGTGCAAACAGTTCAACTTTTACCGCATGTAACACGAGAAAAGGTATCGCTTAATATAACACACTCTTACGCGAAAATAGATAACGTATCGCTTTGCAACAGTTTTGATTCGAGCGCCCCTGGTGAGTCTTATGAAGACGAATAACGTGGCTGACCTACCAAATTATAAGCCTGGTTGGTATCTTTGATGAGTTTTATAGTTTTAAGTATAGCACATTCCAACGAGAAGGACTGATTGCAATATTTATACACTGTAGTGCACAATGTGTACGATATCAATTGTTGCTGAGTTTATGAAAACAACTGATCGGTATTATGAGGAGAAATACTATTTTTGTTCTAGTTAAAACCAAGTGCAAATTGAAACATTATTGATTCCCGTACCATATTATAAGGATGGCAAGCATCGAACGTATTCATACGGACCAGTGTTAATTGAAATATGCCTTTAATGTAGTGCATGCACAGTGTATAATTTCTTTAGTAAATTAGTTCAAGTAAATAATTGCATGATCAGATATTAATTAGTGAAAAGCTTTAAAACAAATCGGCGAAAACATGTTAATATATGTTTGTATAATTTAATATTTCTTCAGTTGTCATTGTATGAACACGACTTGTCATTGTATCGAAGGTTTCCTTAAAGATCAGTTTTTAAATTGACATATCAAAACGGTAAACAGCTATATATATATGTATAATCTACATTTATAATTCTCAATAAAAGTGGTCTTAAAAGGTATTTAATAGAAAAACAAAGGATATGGGGTATCCGTCCATGACTCAAAATCAGAACATGCACAGCAAAAAACACACAAAAAGCAAAGGAACAGCACTTTCATTGCTGTTCTTCATCTCAAAGTGCATAGTTTTACATGTCAGCGGGGGAAATAGATCATAGATCATAACAATTAATATAATGTAATAGGATAATAAAACTAGAAGATTAATTGCTTTTTATTCCGAGCAGTAACTGTTTAAGCAAAGTAAAACGTTCTATATATTTTTGGCGAAGCAAAATCAAAAGAGTTATTTTCATTGTTAATTTGTAAATTTACTGTTAATAAAACGTTAAAATCATCCAAAGCAGTAATGTTTGTCTTCACCCAGGCATTGATGGCCTAAGCCATTTCTTGTACAAATTTTGGGTCATATGATTTTTACAACCGCTGGGTCGATGCCACTGCTGTTTGAAGATTCTTCCCAGAGGATATCTTAAGCCAAGAAGTCAATTGTGCTGACATGACATGTCATTGATTATTTCATGCGGTCTTTTGTAGATTACATATATTGTTAATAAGACATTTTAATCGTTCAAAACACGAAGATTTTTCTATGCAAAGACATACATTGATAACCTTAGCCACAGCGTTTTGGAATTTTTGATTTTCGATGCTCTTCAACATCGTAATTAACTTGACTTTCTAATTTGTTTAATTCGACGCCACTAACCAGTTTAATGAATACGAAACGCGCGCCTGACGTATCAAATTGTAAGCCTTGTATCTGCGACAACTTTTCTAAAACAATTTCTTATGGTCCCCTCATTCACACCACACACAAAGATATCCTTCTTCATTTTCATGTATCTACTACAAAAGCATAGTCATATAAACCACCATAGAAATCAACAGTTTACAAAAAAACAACATCGAAAACAAGAGAATGAGTAACACAAACCCCACCAAACACCAAAAAAAAGGGGGGGTGATCTCAGGTGCTCCGGAAGGGTAAGCAGATCCTTTTCCACATGTGGCACCCGTCGTATTGCTCATGTAAGTAAAGACCCGGTAATAAGTCTAATTCGGTAAGTCACATTCGAGGAAAAGAGGACGGAATGTTGTTACGACAATTTTGAAACATATCCGTCGTCATCTGTGAAACAGATATCCCATAACGGCAACCAACTCTTTATGGCGTCCATAAAATTTTCTAAGAGATAATTTCAACTTCACCACTTGGAACTCTTGGTTTGATAGCTTCCTTGTAAGCAGTTACCCTCTATATCAAGTAAAACATGTTAGGAAATCCAAGCTCTGGAATATCATTTCAACTAATAGATATATACTCCATATGCAGATGCTGCTGGAATGTTGCCACATGGAAATGTTAAGTTCACAATTGGGAAGCTTAATCATCTATTTTGTCGTAAAGTTTTGTTCTCAACCGACTCCCATTGTCAATTTCTGGATGTAAGTCAAGATATGAGGCAGACTTAACTTTCTTTGTTGTATCCTTTATTTCAGGTTCGCTGAGAAAGATGCGTTCAACATAGTCACCAAACTTTGAATTATTTGAATGCTCTAAAGATATAGTTTTGGCTTTCCAATCTTTCAGTCTCGAGTCTACACGATGAAGGTTATTCAAGAAACTCATGTCGTGCAGCAACATTATATGTTTATGATACAAAAAGCGGTAGAAGATAAAAGGGACAATAAAAAAAACACAAGTAGAATAAAACCATGGCGAAAAAGAAAAACGACGAAAACACTACACAGATAAAGATTGAGCAACACGAACCCTCCGAAATACCGGGGTGAAAGCTGGTGCTCTGGAATGGTAACCGTATCCGCTCAACTAGTTGCACCCATCGTGCGTGTTGTTACTGATTGCAAGTAAAAACTCGATGATTCTGGATGTTATTGAACTAACATATCATGCATCATACTGTGTTATTCTCATTCTCAAGCAGTCAACTAATCGGGTATGATTACTTGTTAGGTGTTGCTGGTATGCACAAACTTTCATTTCAATATTTTTATAAGGAACTGATGTTTTGTTTTGCTCAGGAATTATCATTTACTAGTGCTTCTGCTTCTTTCTTGAATCAGCCCTATGTCTAAACATCTCTATGATGCAAACATTCTTGCAATGGATCGACCCATTCTAACATGGGCATAAGTGTGCCCTAGAACGAAATAAATTCTCTGGAAATTGGTTCTTCCTCTTTCGGTATCGTAGTATTATAAAATAGTTAGTACTATTTCTCTACAGTCCCTGTTCAAGCTGGACAAGATGAAATTGCGGGAAAAGAGATGTCATACATATAAATGAGACATATTCAATTTTATGTTATTTATTTACCTCAATACAATATACAAACTATAACATAATAAAAAATGACACAGGGCAATTCCTTATGAAAAGTGCATTATTGAGAATATGATTCAATAATGATTCAATAATCAGAAATAAAGTAAAGTACTTTTAGAGAGCTTTTAATGAGAAAAGCTATTTGTATTCAAATAAATGTCAATGTATTGATAAAAATAGAAAATGAATAATGTCATATGTCATATGTAGCACATTAACCAAATCTATACTGACAACTTGTGAGAAAAGTTTGAAACATTTTAATAGTGCAAAGATGAAACATTGTTATAAACAATATATGGATGCCTGGATGGGGATCACAGATTAGAGAACAATAGGCAAAAATTACAGGAAAAGGGCCGAAAAAATAAAGAAAAGAGAAAAACATACCAAATAAATAAAAAATAGAGAATAATGCGCTACAAAAATAAAGGAGAGAGAAAATGGCATAAAAATAATACAGAAATAAAGGATCCACCATCCAGACTAGCCCTCTTGTAGGCAAAAACCAAAATACAGTTTGATGTACTCACATTGCTAAAGCCAGAAAGCTGGTATGAATTCATGTTGATATTTTTATACGTGTTTTTGACTATTCAATGCTTTTCGTTAAAGAGAGGCAAAGGATACCAAAGTGACATTCAAACTCATAAGCCGAAAATAAACTGACAATGCCATGGATAAAAAAGAAAAAGGCAAACAGACAAACAACAGTACACAAAAAAAACAAAGAAAACCAAAGATTGAGCAACACGAACCCCACCAAATTCTGGGGGTGATCTATTGGTGCTCCGGAAGGGTAAGCAGATCCTGCTCCACATGTGGCAGCCGTCGTGTAGCTCATGTAAGTACAAACCCAGTGATATCTAATTTGGTAAGTCACATTCGGGTGAAATAGGAAGAGATTGTAGTTACGACAATTGGAACATATCCGTCGTCATCTGTGAAACAGATATTCCATAACGATCAACTCGTGATTGCGTCCGTAAAATTTACGAAGGGATGATTTCAACTTCACCACTTGGAACTCTTGGTTTAATAGCTTCCTTGTGGACAGCAACCCTCTATCAAGGAAATCATGATAGGAAACGCAAGCCCTGGAATATCGTATCAAGTGGGAGATGTATACTCCGTATGCAGGCGCTGCTAGAATGTTGCTACATAGAAATGGAAAGTTCACAATTGGGAACCTGAAACCATCTCTTTTGTCGTTAAGTTTTGTCTTCAACCGACCCTCATTGTAAATTTCTAAATATAAGTCAAGATATGAGGCAAACTTAACTGTATCTGTTGTATCCTTTATCTCAAGTTCCATGGGATAGATGCGTTCAACATAGTCACCAAATTTTGAATTATTTAGTGAGAGAACATCATCTATATAGCGAAGTGAAGTTAAAGGATACTGCTAACTTCTTTTCCTTCTTTCTAAGAAGTTCCTGTATGAGGTCAGCCTCATATGAATAAAGGAACAAGTCGGCAAGAAGAGGAGCACATTTGGTTCCCATGTGAATGCCGATTTTTTGTTGAAAAACACGTTCTCCAAACGTAACAAATATGTTGTCAATCAAGAAATCAAGCATCTTGATAATGTCAGTTTCAGAGAATTTTTTGTATGAATCAGAGTGATTTTTTACAGAGTACGATTTATCCCCAACCCCTTAAGTCAAGAAACTTGTATCTACGTAAGCCATTCTTTTTTTATGAAACAAAGCATGACCAACTCTTTCAATTTGTCTTTTAGTTTGGAATGGGGAACACTTGTGTAAAGTGTAGTAAAGTCAAATGTTTTAATACTATTGCAAGATGAAAGAGTCTTAGATTGTATGTATTTTGGAATGTTTTAGTATCCACATCTGATTCACGCCACTTCTAGAATAGGTAGTTTCACAATAACTTTGAAGCCCGGCTTTGGTTGCTGATAAAATTGATGTTAATAATTTAGAAAGAGGTTTCGTTGAGCACTTGGAAGACCCATCAATATAACGTTGTTTCTAAGGACACTTATGTAGTTTAGGTATCCAACACAGTGAAGGAAGATCCAGTTCTTCATCTTTTGTTGAAATTCCAAAGGAACATAGAACAGACCTATGATTATCCAGGATTTCCTCCTTGGTAATTTTCGTGAGGGTATATGTTGAGTTTCCAAGTGAATTGTCAATACCTAAATCATTTATCAAGCAGTTTATATAATGTGATTTACACACAAAAACTATGTTGTTTGGGGCTTTATTTGCGGGGACAACAACATATTTGTCGTTGAAGTAGGATAGGTGTTTTGCAACATTTGGGTCTTTAAAGATTGATGTAGCATTGGTGTTCATAGACCCATTCAGTTTTTTAATTCTGATTTGTATCAACGACCACACAACCTTAATCCATTCTGAAAGAGTATCTACGTCTTCTTTTTCGCGTTTAACCCATTGCCTGGCATAATCCTCGACTGAATCCATCAGTATTTTGAAGTTGTATTTTCAATTGATGGATTTAGGCTCACGATATTTCTGGCCTTTGGATAACACATTTCGCAGAGAAGTGTTATCGACAATGTTTAGGTCACCAGTAATAACGTGGCAGCCGGATTATATATGAATGGGGAACTAGCACAGGTGCAATCAGGAGGTTTATATAAATAAGAAGATGTGGTATGAGTGCCAATGAGACAACTCTCCATCCAAGTCACAATGTGTAAAAAGTAAACAATTATAGGTCAAAGTACGGCCTTCAACACGGAGCCTTGGCTCACACCGAACACCAAGCTATAAATGGCCCCAAAAAAGACTAGTGTGAAACAATTCAAACAGGAAAACCAACGGCCTAATCTATATAAAAAACAAGAAACGAGAAACACTTATAAACCACACCAACACACGACAACCACTGAACAACAGGCTCCTGACTCAGGACTGGTGCATAAAGTCGTCAATATTGAGATCCTGCAACACGTGTTTGTACTTGAACATTTTTGTTGCAATTGGTAGGGTATAGGTATAAGAAATGATAGGTAAAGACTGATCTTTAAAATAAGGAGGTATTTTCGATCGAACTGATTTATGATGAAGGATATTGCCCAAGTTGATGGCATCGACCCTTTGATGGCAAAGGAAAGTTTTAGAAAGGACCTTTTCTCCTTTTCATCTTTTCCAATGCGAACTGGTTTAAAAAGTCTGTGACTAGCAATATCCGAGATGATAGCTGTAAGTATGTACTGGTTTGAATCGGGGTTTGTAACAATGGTTTCCGAACATAAGTTGTACAGAGAATGAAGTTTTGAAAGTTGAAATAAAAGCTTACTTCAGTTCAAATCTTAGTTTTCTTTATTTCAATGAAATCAGGATATCCATTTTCTCTATTTTTCTTCGAATAATGATCCCACTTTCTGATACGATCTTCTTTTGATACTGTGTCAATCTGTGCTACACCATATAAAGACATGAAAGTTTCAACAAATATAGAAGTTATCAGTGCAAGAGTCAAAATACCACATAAAGCGCAAGCGGAGCATATGATCTTTCCAGCCACAGATGTTGGTACCACATCACCAAAGCCGACCGTTGTTATAGTTATGACCCCAAGCCACCACCCTTGTGGAATACTGTCGATGTTGTGTCTATCCTCAGACAGGTACACTATGTTTCCAAAGATCAACACAATGAGAGATATATGAAAGAAAAGTAAAATAAGATCTTTGACATTTTTCTTTACCGAAAAGGTAAGCACGCGAACTGCTGCCAAATTTTGACAATATCGCAATAGCCGAATAACTCGAATCATTTTGATAAAATCCATGAAATCTTCAATGACACTCATTAAATCAGTACATGTAGGTCTTAATTTCGAATTTGAAATCGCTATTACGACGTATGTTCCGACTAAAATGAACAGTTCAATCAAATTGAGGATGCTTGTGAAAAAAGCTTTCACATTAGGACACACAGACAGCCTTATAAAAAATTCAGCTGTAAAGAATGCTGTAAAAAAGTGGTCAATTTTGACAAATGTTTTCAATTTTTGAGTAACTCCTGTATGATTTCTTGCCAGAAATTGTTCGAACTTTTGTTTAAGGGATTCATTATTATCTGTTTGGTCTTCGTCATAGAAAGACGGGTCCATATAATACATGTAGGATTCGTCTTCCTTATATTTCGCTTTAAGGTTGTTGCAGTCTTGGTCTGCGTATGCTGTGGCAATGTTGCATTCTGCCTCACTAAATGACATGTATTTAAAAGCCTCACAAAGTGGAACGGGACTTCTGAAGGCTGACAACGTACTCAAGGCCAATACTCCCACTGATAGTAACACGATAGTAATCCCAACAGTAAGGTACAACTGAAATAAAAAAATAGACATAACAATAATAGTTACAATTTTGTGTGTTGACTTTTATTACCAGTTAATCGCAAATTTCAGTTTAGTTGCGAGGCCTTGTAGTCCAAATTCAATGTTAAACATAAGCAGATCAATATAAGGAATATTGGCGGTTATTATAGTGATCTCGTCATAATATTTTTTTATGATACATTTGAAAAAGACACCTTTGATATTTAATCTGTACTATTATTTTTACTAATTATCTGCATGCTATTTCAATGTGCCAACATGATTTTGTTCTCTTGCAAAGTATGGTGCAAAGCGTTAGTATGGTTATAATATCCTGTTTTCACATTCATCCGATCATCTTTGACCTTAGTACAAAGTCCCCCTTAATCCTTACATCAATGGTATATTTCAGAGATAGGTGAATACAGACACGAGATTTGTGTGGGGATGGCAGCGTTTTGAAATCATGCTTAAAAGTGTGAATCAAATATCCATTTCTAAAATTGTTTTACATTGTTGGGTCGTTAGACAATTTTGTTTCGATGGATATAAAACTTTCTTAGTGCATGTGAAGCGTTTTCTGGATTAACCTTATCATGAACCCTCAAACCCTAAAATTTTAACGCAAAGGATGTATATTATTACCAAAAGTGCCAAAAAAGAATAGCTAAATCCACATAAGGCCAACTTTGTGTGAGGGAGTTTGAACAATAGTCTCTTTCTATTATCTAAATTTATCAACAAAGAATCTGAGAAAAGCTTGTTTTAAATTATGTGAGTGCCGAATCGGAAAACTATGCGTAACTTATGATAAGATCGTCTGATATAATTATTTTTTTGTAATTATGGGTCGTTTTTCTATAAAACAATTATTTTGGTACTTGACATACGTCAAAAATAAAGAAAACCAAATACATTATTTTTATTAAATATTTGAAGCAATAAAGCTCATAGTTCCTAATCGGGACACCCGTCTTTAAAAGAACAACATTGAATAATGTGTTATAATTTCACAAAGCAGCAGGATTTTAGGAAATTTATCTCTAAACTACCGCAATGTACATATATAGAATTTAACCTCTATCTTGTCATGAATAAAAGAACATTTTGACTATGCGTCAAGGAGTATACTACCGAAAGTAAAAGTTGAAATAACATTTGATGGAATATTATCCCCTAGAGTATCAGTACATGATACATTTTGACTCTTAGAATTTCAGTTTCTAAGCTATATAAATCTACTAAAACTGAGGTTGTAATTCCCTAGGGCAAAGTTAAGCTTGTTAGGTTTTGGCTGTAATGTCTAGACCCTTTTTGTTTGACGCGCATATATGTATTATGAATTTGGCTTTCCAAACTTTTAGTCAAGATATATCTGATGGAGACTTTTCTAATTGCAATCAGTATCAAACGTTTATTATTACAAAGTTCCTACCTTTGCTATTAATGTTGCCTCATGGTAGTCTATGATTTTCCAAATACGATTCCTCACTGCTGAACATTTCGATACCACAGTTTTCGATAAAGTTTCATTCTGTTCATACTGGAATTCTACTCTAGCTGTGTGCATATCCATAAATTGAATAAACGAATATAAACAGCATTTGTCTAAGTATTCATAGTCAATCTGCCAATAGTCTAATTCTTCCTTGAACGAGTTAGGACATACGTTTGGTGGCATATGCAGTTTCCGCGTCTGGTAAAACGTCAGAATAGATTCAAATGCTGTTGCAGGTCGATCAAAATATAGCTCTTTCTTTTCGGAAGAAGTAGATGATAAAGCAATTTTCCCCAAACGCGTATCAGGCCATGTCAACAGCGCTGTCTTGCTGGTTTCAAATTTGGTTCCAGAAACATTTATACGAAATCTATCCATGTCTGCGTGTGACAAACCAAAATTTGAACGTATGCATTCATTTAGATAACTAGATAACAAAAAAACAAACAATTTGATTCAGATATTCGACATTAACTAATGAACTGTTTGCTCCTTGAATTATTGATGCTTGATAATTATATACTAGAATTGTTTTTTTCCCTCTGGATCAAACAGCATTACAGATATAATTCACATTTGTCAGCTCTATGGTGACATATCATATTTTCTATATGTGTTTCCAGGTAAAATAGAAATATTATTTGTTCACCGACAAGTATCAAGTTTCAGTTTAAAGATTTTGCAATCAAATTTCCTGCAAATGAGATATCTTTGTAAAGAAAGTATCCAGTATCAATTATTTGACAGAAATATGCACTTTCGAAACATAGAAATTAATGAAAAAGGTGTCATTGATCATTATTTTCAGGAACTTGACAACATTTGCATAGCCTTTTGTCCTAATGCCTTCTATTTATATCCCTTCTCGGGAAGTTTTGGCTCGCTACAATTCAAAGAATAGAAAAATCCAATTTGTAGACATAATGCAGGTAGGTACAAGCTTAATTAGTTGCCTTTTTTGATGTGATTTTGCGATTCTTTGCAGAATCCAAGTAAGTTAACGGACGTCTTTTTCATTAAATATATTTCTATCGTAAGTTGCAAAATGAAGATTGGTTTATCGGTTAAATTATTAATTTAATGAATGTTTACCTAGATAATAACGGTGATTAATTTTCAAGATATAAATTAACTTACTGGACAAGAAAGGATAGCAGTGTATTGATTCATAACACAAAATTTCGAGACGCACGTGTGAAAACCAAAATCATATCACACTTCACAGAAAGTTCGATATGGCCCCTACCACCGGTTTGACTTGAAGGTTAATTTTCTTATATTAGGCATTGGCACATTTTTAAGATACTATGTGCGTTGGACATTGTTGAGTGATCTATTCTACTAAAATAACGAGGTCCAATTTGTTAGCCGACATGACGTAAAAACGACGAATCAAAGAATTCAACTTTATATATAACTAATAGAGGACAATGGTGTTGTTTAAAAATTACACCATTCCAGGCCCATTTATTTTCCACATAATTAATATTACAAATAATTAACAAGTTCCGGGTCAAATCCGATACCGATAACTTCTGTAAATCCCTCCTCTATCAGGAGAACCTGGAATTCTTCCAGTAGTTTTTTTATATCTATGTTACACTATAGTACACTATTTAACAAGTCTGTTTTCCTCCACCTCAATACCACTATCAATTTGGTTAATTAGTTAGAAAATTAAATATAGATTATAGTAAGTTTATTGTAGTCAGAAAACCAGAAACCGGTTAAATTTAGTTTATTGTAAGTTTATTGTAGTAAGAAAAACCAAAAAGAAAGATGTTGAATGCAGAGAAACCTGGGCACCTTACAATCGGCATGCCTTTATTAGATGACATGTTTTCTAGTTTAGATTACTATACAGTAGATTCAATCAGACGTCTTTTGTTTAATGTGGCCATCCTGTTTAAGTGTTCACTATGTTCTGTAATTTATTGTGTAACGGGCTATTTAAACCTTTGACTCTCTGCGTTGTTGAAGAAATGAATCCCTTGCTTTGTTGTATACATAGCTTTCTATACTTATTTTGGTTCCTTGAATAGCACGGATATTTTCTGTATGATGTAATCGCAATTCCGGTTTCCCTTTGTCTCTTACTTTTTTACCATGATTAACCCCATATGAAAGAATCCCTCAGTTTAAAACCTCTTAGTTCATTCCCGTATTTTACATTAATACCTTTAATATTGTTGGCTTTTCAAAGTAAACGAGCGTAGCTGTTGACGGTTATTCCAGAAACAGGAGCCTTAATCGATAGTCTGGTTTTTTTATTTGTTCACGATTTGTTTCCTTTCAATCATTAATATACTATATAATAAAATATTAATTTTCACGAACCATTTAGGTCACAGAAATTCCAAAAAATGGCATCAGTAAGGAGAGTTGTACAAATGATGTGAATACACAGAACCCGGATCCAAATTATCTTTTACTAAAAGTATTCATCATTTTCTGTTTTGTATGTACTAACAACATTTCATTTTTCTACAATTTCGATTAAAATATTATAAAACCTGCAGTTCAATAGGTCACATGCCCCAAATAAACATTCCCCGATTAGTCGAACTACTGTGGCCTCGGTGTAAAGCAACGCAAGCCTCGATGTAAAGATCACGCTTCCAAAAATAGAGGTATGTCCCAACTTAACATTAAGTGTTTAAGTTAACATTAACACTTAAATTATATTCAGGTTTACCCTGTGAGAAACTTCATATAAAATTTTGTAAATTTATACTTGGGGTACACAAGAAAACAACAAATGCTGCAGTGTTATCTGAACTTGGAAGATTTCCAATATATTTTAATATTATAAAAGGAATGTTATTGTACTGGTATAGATTAGAGAATTTAGGTAATAATTTTCCTCTATTAAAAGAGGCATATACACAATCAAAGACACTACATCACATGAATATAACATCATGGTATGGTTCAATAAATGTTGTTTTTAAAATACTTGGTATTGACTATACAAATGCCATAAATGCTCCATTTTGTGAATCCTTATACAAATTTAAGAAATATATACAAACCAAGCTATCAATATTGTTTATTAGCTGTTGGAAAAAACAAATAGATAAATTTTCAGACAGTAAACTGAAAACCTACCTTTTATATAAAACAAATTTTGGTTTTGAAAAATATCTAACATTGATCAAGAATTTTGAACTTAGAAGAAGTTTTACTAAATTACGTGTATCTTCTCATAGATTACAAATAGAATTAGGTAGATATCAGGGTATTCCCCGAATTAACAGAATATGTAATAAATGTTCTTCCAATACTGTCGAAGATGAGGCTCATTTTCTATTTGATTGTAACAAATTTGAGGATGATAGAAATTGTATGTTAGCTAGTATTGCACAATATAATTCTTATTTTAATCATATGAACAGTCAAAGCAAAATTATCTGGTTATTTAGTGTAGAAAATGTTGAGTTACTTAAAATAATATGTAATTTTATATACAAACATCTTCCTTAGTGAAGATTAGTTAAAGGAAATCTATGTGTGTATATACATTTGATTGGACATAGAAAATTATATTCATCTGAATATCACAAACATACTAGCCGATTAAAAAAAAAAATAATTGTTAAGATATATTATTTATTCAAATGTTCTCTTATATCCTTGAGGCATCGTCCCCTGGTATCAACTGCATTCAAGTTACCTATGATGCTTCCTTGTTTGCTTTTGATACAGGTAGGAAAGAGACATTTACACACATTTTACATGCCTATGGCCCATAAGGTATCGCCCCCTGGTGTCAGCTGCCTTTAGGAAACCATAATGCTTTCCTATTTGCTGCTGACACAGGATGAGTCATGGACATGTTTAATTTCTACTTTCTTTTTGGCTAATTATTATATATTTAATTGATCCAACTTTTTGTGTACTATACATATGTGGATATCTATTTTTCTTTTTTTCTTTTTGGGCTGCTTGTTTGTTATCTATATCAACCACACTTGCAATAAAATGCATTAGTATTAAAAAAAAACAACATACTATAGATTCTTTATCTACGTATTCTTTAAGAACTTAAATAGTTCTCGTTTAACTTTTTTTTTTTTTATCTCATTGTTTGTATTGTATTATGAAAAAAATTATTGATGTTGTAATGTTTATGCCCTTTGGGGCCCATAATTGGAAATAAGATATCTTATCTTATCTTATCTTATCTTATCATTCCCCGATTGGTTGAATTGCTGCTCGATGTAAAGCAACGGAAGCCTTGATGCAATGAAGAAAAGGGGTTGACAGGATAAACGTAATCGTTATAAATTTTAACTTCATGGTTCTTATGCAAGCAAATTTAATAAACAATGATTTTATACAGTTGTGTTATTGTTTTCACCTGACATAGTGCTTTATTTCTGATCTTATTTCTGTGTACACAATTCTGAATCTACATATTTCACCTATATCAATATTAGGTAATCCGTTTGGACGATTCCATATACATTATGTTTTAGCGTTTTTTAGCTTCAGTGTCGAGTTGGTGTATAGTATTGAGGGCTATCTGCGAGAAATAAATCTTTTTTTCTGATATATTAACTAAATTCAAAACCAATATAAAAATAGTTAACACATATATTTTATGTAACTGAGTAAATTGATCGGAAATTTATGTGAATGATACATAAACCTAAAATTCGTTTTGGTCTATCCCAGTGATGACATTTGCGCGGGAATTTAGTCCATTGACATCGTAATATAATTTACTTTGGATTATAATTATCTTTAGATGTAATGTTACAGGATTTAATGTGAAATCATTTGTCTCTTCTTTTATAACAGTAATCCAGATTATCAATGGATTAAATTAGAAAAATCCTTTTTTGGATTTAAAAGTGACCTATTTATTTGTGTACTGTACAACCCCCCTGTTACGTCTAAATATACCCAAGAACTCTCTTCTGATGTTTTTGAATGCATAGAAAAAGATATCTTTCAGTATAAAAAAATGGGTGAAATTTTGTTATGTGGAGATTTTAATGCCAGAATAGGCTCTGAAAATGACTTTATAGTAAACGATGATTCAAAATTTACTCCAATTTTTGATACATACCCTACTGACAAAAACATTATGACAAGAAAAAGTCGAGACAAAAAAATTGATCAAAGAGGCAAAGAAGTTTTGGATTTTTGCATTAGTAAACAAATAAGAATTTTAAATGGCAGAGTTCTTGGTGATACATTTGGTAATTTTACTTGCTATACCCCCAATGGTGCAAGTGTGGTTGATTATGTTGCTGTGTCGGAAGAAATTCTTGAAAATGTACTGTATTTTAAAGTATCCAGATTTATTCCCACATTATCTGATTGTCATTGTAAACTTGAGTGGGAATTATCTGCAAAATATTGTGTTCCTGGAGAAAATGATATTCCAATCCAGTTGAAAAATATGACACCTAATTATATCTGGACTGACTGTTCAGCAATAAAATTTCAAGAAACACTTTCTTCAGATACACTACAAAACTACATACTAGAATTCAACAACAGCACAATTCAATTTACTCAGACATCAGTAGATGAAGCATCATCAAAACTTTCAAACATCTTTTTATCAGCAGCAAATCTATCACTTAAACGACCTTTAAAAAAACACACAAACAAACAAA